TTTATATAGTCGCTTACATACCAAAAACATCTGATGGGCATGTACACTAAACATGTCACGTGGCGCTGTGTGTTTATCGAAGTAAATATTGCCCTTCGTGTAGGTCTCAGTCGTGATGCATTTGTGGCAGTTTCAAGAATTTTGTGCTTTTACAGACCACTCCCCCATATCCTTGTTAGTTTGAAAGCGTCTTATCTAAGACCATGAGGGGATGTCACTCCATGGCCAGACTTCCCTCTGCTCATGAAACTCAACTCAAGGTGCTTATTTCCGTTTGACTATATACTATATCCTGTATATTCGCGCCTAAAAATCCGGTGACCGCTACGCACGCACGCACGCACGCACGCGCGCGCGCGCACACACACACACACACACACACACACACACACACACACACACACACACACAAAACTTCCGAACTTGTTTCTCACGGCCCATGTGGGCACTCCAACCACACATGGCTAATGAACATTCAGTATGAGAGCGGACTCGGATGGTTTCATTGGTCCTCTGTGGCATGCTTATTACCCGGTAATTTTATTGTTCAGATGTGACGTGACTATGGGTAAATCTATTGACAGCTTGAAGCTCATCAGTAAAAATTCAAAAATAAATTGCGTCATGTTAAAAGTGGCAGGGTTGAAAATCTTGGGAAAAAACTAGCGATTTATAGTGCGGATTATGTAATAATTGATTTGATAATTGATTATTTTTGATAATCAAATAATCATTTAAATACCTTTTTAATTTAAGATTATACAAATGCTTGGATGGCCCGGTACACGAGTGGTTAGCGCGTTGACCTCACAGTGCAGAGATCGTGGGTTTGATCCCCGCTCCGGCCATCCTGTGTGGAGTTTGCATGTCCTCCCCGTGTCTGCCTGGGTTTTCTCCGGGTTCTCCAGTTTCCTCCCACATTCCCAAAACATGCATGGCAGGCTGATTGAACACTCTAAATGTGAATAGTTGTGAATAGTTGTTTGTCTATGCGTGCCCTGTGCCTGACTGGCAACCAGTTCAGGGTGTACCCTGCCTACTTCCCGAAGATGGGTGGGACGGGTAGGCTACAGCATGCCCCGCAACCCTTGTGAGGATAAAACGGATCAGAAAATGTATGGATGGCTGAACAAATGCTTGGAATTTACGCATCCCAACAGTAAATATTTACGATTTCTGTAGTCCTCAATGAAAGCAAATTGATCACCTTTGTGGTGAACCAAAATACAACAAACAAAATAAAAAAATGGATGGATAGATTATTTTGTAGATTAATCAAGGAAACAGATTTTTTTTAAAGCAATAGATTACTTGATAGTTGCAGCCCTATTGAAATTTTCACCGTAGTCTACAGTACATACTGTGTATCTCCTGTAGTAACAGTCATCGTGATAGTCAGATGCGGTCCTGCATGTTGTGCAATATTTTTTGGCATTCTTCAGCACTTGTGTCATGGATTGTCCCACCCACTATTAAAAGCATGTGTTGCATGTATATTGCATAGAAGGATGGACAAGTTACAACATTTCAGCATTTTAAACCCATTGCACATCCCAAGTGGACTTTATTTGAGAGGAGTACGAAATTTATATTTTTGACTTGCATGGGTAATGCTGAACATACTGTAAACGCCCACCCCCACCCCCCCAAAATAAAAAGCTATTGGACAAGGACATTCTTTGAATTTAGCACTTTAACTTCGGTGAAACTTAGAACAGTTGTCACACAAGCAACAAATGACAGACAAATGGTATTTTTTTCCCCCATTAGCCCTGAAAGTGCTGTGGACACTTCTTCCGTCTCCTGAGAGTGTGTGCGGCACACTTCAATCACTTCTAAGCATGCAAAGTGCAAATGTACATGGGTACTGTAGGTCAAACTACAACATTAATGCATAACTTCACATTATGGCAGAATTCCTGTTGAAATAAATTGTATTCCTGAGAAACTGATTGCACATAAAAATTTAGTCTTCACCCTGTCTTTTGCCCACGCTGCACTTTGCCACCCCGTTTATTTTAAGTCTGAATTACTCAAATGCCTCCATATGGTCACTACAAGGTGGTCGTTGACCACAACTGCCGACACTTAATAAATTACGTCGGTCGTTTTTTTAAATGAAGGTTCGACAAATAATTAAGGGTTTGATTGTCATTGTGCTGGTGTTTGGTCCCAGGGGGCCTTGTACATCACATGCTGCTGACTTAGGCCCCCTGGCTGCTTATCTAAAACCAACAGTATCAAACTGGACTGTGACTTTAAATTGGACCGTCAAATTGGCGCTCTTATTGAATCCACCCCCTTTCATCTTAGGCAGCTCGCTAAAGTCAAGCCTCTCCTTTCTCAACAGCACTTTGAAACAGTAATTCATGCTTTTGTCACATCCCGGCTGGATTACTGTAATGCACTTTATTTTGGAATTAACCAATCCTCCATCAAGTGTCTCCAGTTGGTCGAAAATTCTGCTGCTCGCCTCTTGACCGGTACTCATAAGAGGAAGTACATAACTGCTACTCTGGTGTCCCTTCATGGTGTCCCTTCACTGGCTTCTTGTACATTTTAGAGTTCTTTTTAATATACTATTTTTTATTTTCAAATCTGGAAATGGTCTCGCTCCACCTTAACTTCCGGAGCTCCTGCCCAAGTGCCCCAGGTCTGCGGAGCAGACGCTATTAGAGATACCGAGAACGAAGCAGAGGCTCAGACAGGATCGAGCCTTTTTCATTGCTGGTCCCTCTCATTGGAAAGACCTCCTGCTGAACGTTAGGCAAGCCCCCTCGCTGTCCATTTTAAAACTCGTCTTAAAACAAATGGTTATTCTTTGGCTTTTAACTGAGCATGAGACTCGATTTGAGTTTTACCTTTTTTGTGCTTTTTACTGACTTTGTTATTCATTTATTGTTTTTGTCGTTTATTATTGTACGACTTATTTTCGCTCCATGTAGAGCACTTTGTGTACAGCAGTGGTTGTTTTAAAGTGCTCTATAAATACAGTTGAGTTGAGTTAAATATAGGATACATTATTTACTTACATACTGATCTCTTTAAAAATTGTTTTAGTTAAAATGAAGTTCTAAGTTAAAGAAAATTAATACATACAGCCCTTCCAGTTAAATATCTTGTCTGTGGGTAACAAGTCGGTAGCCTCGACCACAACAACACGTCAAAAACATGATAGTGTTGTGGAGATGTGGTAAATGATGAGATGCAGAGGCAAAGGCGAGTTGTGTCTCTTTTTATTCTCCACACCAAATTGATTGGTTTCAGAGCCAGCAGCAAGCTACTTTCCTTCAACACTTTCTCGGGGTGTAGTGATACGTCTTTTTCATGGATGTATCAATCTGTCTGCAAGGTTTCCCCCAGAAAACTTGCTAAGACTGGTGATAGAGACAATAAAATATTTTGTTTTATTATTGGTATGCCTGTCAAAACAATTTTTTTCATATGATATACTTACCCAGAAATTATCCTGATAAACGTTGTGATAGTATCGTTTGTTATTATTTTGCCACTGATACTGCATCCGTTTTAAGTGTAATTATCTTATACAGTATTTCTCAAAAGCACATGGAATATTTGCATTGACATTTTGAACAATAAAATATGTTAAATTAATAAATCATAATTTGATTAAATAAAGACTCAGGCTCTTCTAATTGTTTAAACAATATTCAAAAAATATTAACACATACACCACATACAGTCGCGGCAGAGTAAAATCATGTTTTTTCTTCCTGTCACAATATCCTCTTTCACCTGGTTGTACCAGGCTGTAGTGCAGGGGTGGTCAACCCGCTGCTCGCGAGCCGCATGCGGCTCTTTGGCTGGTTCAATGCGGCTCCCGGGCTTTCACACAACAAGCGCCGAAAACGCCTCGGGAGTGGCGATGCCGTTCAAAGGAACGCGCTAACTACACAGAACGTACTACGTCAGCCCATCATAAATCCCGTTACTTGATTGACATAGATTGCAACCAATCAGATGACTGCATCACCGCTCATGCGCAAACAACGGCGCTAAGCGCTAAGCTAGTCAGCGAATTACCTCTGATTTTAAGGCAGGGGTGCCCAATACGTCGATCAGAATCGACCGGGAGCCAGCGAACTGGTCCCAAGTCACCCGCAAACGCAAATCAAACATGTCAACTTGATGCTTGCTAAAAATCTGTACCAAAATTTCAAATTATCATATGTAATAAATAAGAGAGATATTATAAGCATTTTCTTGTTACCAAACCACTCAATGTAGTAACTTAAACAACAGTTGAATATTATTCTTGACTTTTTTTAATATGATTTCACAGTCATAACAGCCCTCCATGGGAAACGGTAACTACAATGGGCTTGACACCCCTGACTTCAAGCAACATTTATATGCATTGAAATGGAAGGTTAGAACATTCAGAACAACTTTTCCATTTCGTTAAAAATAATGTGTAATAACTCAATGTCATTTTATTTTCCCCTCTACAGGTATTTAGTGAAATACCCAATTTTCTATTCATAATTATATTCATATTTTTCTCAATATGTATAGAAATCTAAGAGTTCTCAAGTCTTCCTTTAACCTGAAGCTTTTATATGTTCATTTTGGAACGTATCCACAAAGATTCATGAAAATCAGTGATGGAACTGAGGGTGAAACCAACACCTGGTATGTAATAGTGGGACGATTAAATGATCCCCTAAAATAAATCTATCTATCTATCTATCTATCTATCTATCTATCTATCTATCTATCTATCTATCTATCTATCTATCTATCTATCTATCTATATTTTGTCGACATTGCTTATCATCCCGTTTTTGTGATACATGTAATTATGACATGTTTGACTTAACACACTCGATGCTCAGACAACACTTTCATTGGTACCGATTAGTTCAGCAAATATAATCAAGATATCTTAAAGTTTTGTTTGATTTAAATTTGTAATATTTGCACAATCCTCCACCTCAACTGGCATGACAAGTTTATTTCTGCTTGGTGTGGTTGTCCAGGTGAACCTGTGTTCTCCTGCCAACAATGAAACCTACCAAGAGAGACTGCTCCGCCTAGAGGGAGACAAGGAGTCCTTGGTTTTACAGGTAAACCATTTCTGTGTGTGTGTGTGTGTGTGTGTGTGTGTGTGTGTGTGTGTGTGTGTGTGTGTGTGTGTGTGCGTGCGTGCGTGCGTGCGTGCGTGCGTGCGTGCGTGCGTGTAAATTTCCTCTTAATTTTACGCAACTGCAAAAACACGAGTTCAATTGTGTTTGTGTTGATGTAATCATTGTTGGCGTAAATGGGATTAGTCTGGAAGGGTTGGTGCCACACTTGATAAGCATCTCAGTTCCTGGTTCTGAAGATAATCTATGTCAGGGGTGTCAAAGTCAAATGGACGGAGGGCCAGATAAAAATTTTTGCTGCAAGCCGAGGGCCGGACTGATCGAATGTTCATTGAAAATTTTAAAAATAACCACATATTGTTTATTGAACCAAATTTAATTGACTGAAAACCGAACAAATACATTCCAATATGGTCAGATAAATAAAGCAACATTTTTTTATGGCTATGTCAGTAAACTTTAATTTTCAACAGGCACAAAAAAATTTCCTTTGTATAAAAATACCCATAACATGAATGAAAAAAGCCGATATTATTCAAGGCACTATCACTAGTCCATATTTTCTCTTTTAGCAAAAGTAGGCTAAATTTACTTAAAAGAAAAACAAATAATAGTGCAGTAATTTTCGATCATTTACTCGAATAAAATATTTTTAACACATAATTGGATTGAAATACAATAAAATAAAGTGCAAAAATGTATAAACCAAAAACAACACTTTCTTCAAGAAAAAAACTTGAACTGAGTAAAAACTCTTAATATGTGATTGCACAGTATATTATAGGTAATATTCACTTTTTTGAGGCTGAGGCTGATACTCGGTGGTGTCTTAACTTTTCTACAAGTTCATCAATATTTGGGGTCAGGCTCTGAGCTGAGCAAATCCTCAACATTGAGTGAGGGTGTTCAGCAGTAAATCGACTTCTGTGTGATGTTTTGTTCAGCTTCATCAAAGAAAATAGTTGTTCACACACGTATGTGCTGCCAAACTTTCGACAACGTTTGAGCAGCCTGGATGCGCAGCGGGGCCAATGTGTCGGGGAGGAAACGGGCAAACTGTGCAGCACGCACTGCCGTATCTTTGCAGAAACACTGCAATTGTGTTTCTGCTAATGCTCACGTTTAAAAAGAGTTGTTTTTTTTCGGGGTAAACTTCGTCACAAACTTTAAATATACCGTTTTTAATGAAATCCCCCTTCCCCCTCCATGTCCATGTTCTTGTTTGCGTGTTTCGTTTCATGATGTCGTCTCAGATTACACTATTTCAATCGCGCCACACTTTCTCCACACAGAAGACACACAGGTTTTCCAGCTCCGTCCATGATGAACATGTTCTTCGACTCTCACCTTGTTTGAAACCCCCGGTTCTCAGTGTCCACCTTCCGTTTTGCCATTTTTGATGGGTATCTGAAAGCTAATGTCACTGTTATGGGAACGACTGCTAGACGAATAAATATTTAAATAAAGCGGCCAACTGCTTGGCGCGTCACCGTTGCATTGTGGGAAATGTAGTTTTGGTGCGTGTAAAAGATCTGCGGGCTCTCGGCTTGCTGCGGTCCGCGGGCTGGTTCTAATAATAAATCAATATCATCCCAGGGGCCACTGAAAACATTCTCGCGGGCCGGATTTGGCCCGCGGGCCGGCACTTTGACATATGTGATCTATGTTATTCCAAATAAAGCATGCTTGAACAGCTTTGGCCCATTCAAGCAGGTACTTGCATTCACTGGCAACGGTTGCTGTCACAGGCGGAGGTGATAAAGTCAACAGACTCTTCTGAGTTCACCTTAATAACTACTTCACGCAGCACTGATAATTACAATGTTCACCTCAAAGTCAAAATGTCTTCACTACTCCTCAGGGTCATTAATCCTGTGTGTGACTGAGGTTTGTTTTGCCCCCCTTTTGGATGAATCAACTTTGTGGCATTTATGTGCACTAACCAAACACGAAACTGAAACTGAAAAAATAAAATTATAGCTGTTTTGATGTGATTATGATTGCTAGGACTTGTTTTTCCAGACAGGAGATTGTCTTGATACGTTTTGGCCCTTTAACTGTTGTCAGTACACCTTTCACTGGCCACTTTTCCAGGCCTACCTGTATTTGTGTGTGTTTGTGCGTTTGCGTGACTAACGCTAAACACTGCGTTTTCACTAATGGGCCTCCCTGTCACTTAGAGGGAAAGGTTTCTTATCTAAATTTGTGTGCTGTGTTCTTCCCAATTTCTTGTCAAATGTTGCACAAATAATCTTGTATTTCTTGGCGGCAAATTATGTGTTGGGGGGGCACGTTTTCACATGTACTGTACATGCACTCTATCATAGATTATTTGTAATCAATCTTGAGACAGTTCATGAAACAGCAGCTTCACTCTAACAAGAGTACTTGAGGTTAGACAATGGCTGTGGGGTGAACATAATGGCAGTTGAAGTGACATTGAAACAGCTGCTGTCAGAGGAATCCCGCATCATCTCATAGAAAAGATTGTGCGTCTGTCTGTGCACAAGTCTGTACTTTGCAGGCTTGGCAGGAGGTGAGCGTCAAGTCAAGGGGATCATTGTAAATGTCTAGCCCAGATTCCTGGGTGACAGACTTGCTGAGTAATAGAATGGTGGTGTGAAGTTGAGGAATGTCATGTATAATGTTGTTGTTGACTGATGAAACACAACACGGAAATGTTGTTAAACTGGCTGGTAAAACATTGTCTTAGCACCTCATCTGTTCATTCACTCATACTGTGTGTATGTAATAATGAATGACTGTGTCAACCATTAGGTAAGTGTCCTGACTGACCAGGTGGAGGCTCAAGGGGAGAAGATCAGAGATCTCGAAAGCTCCCTCGAGGAACACAGACAGAAACTAGCTTCCACTGAGGAGATGCTGCAACAGGTAACACTCACACTGGAAACCTTCCACATCTGAAAACTTTTTGGGTACAAAAAGATGTGTATTTACACTTGCACAATAACATCCCATAAGATTGTAATGACAGCCATAATTAATATACCGTATTTTCACGACCATTCGGCGCACCGTATTGTTGGGCGCAGTCTCACTAACGGGTGCTATTTTGGTATTTTACACATAGACAAAACGCACTGTATTATTGGGCGCAGTTTTACAGTGGTAAAACATACGCCAGCTTAAACACACTGCATGCGTGCACGCACACTAAAAACACGTTAGCTTGAAGCATACGGTAGCATGCTAAGACATACGGATACACGCTAAAAACACGTTTTTAAAAAGGCAACGGAAGCAAAACTGAGTTCGGTTGCATTTTATTTAGCCAGCTTACAATGTACTCACGTTTTTTGATCAATCAAAAAACGTGAGTACACAGTCGAACAAACGTGAGTACACAGTCGAATGGTGACTATGGAGACGCTTCTGCCGGCTGCTCTTTGATCAACAATCCACCGCTCCAGTTGGTCTTCCAACTCGGGCCACCTCGCCTTCTGTCCACGGAAACTCAGCTTCGTCTTTTTGACTTGGCGAAGCGCGTTCTCCTGCTTCCTCCATTTGCGAGCCATGGATTCGTTGACTTGAAATTCTCTCGCGGCTGCTCGATTCCCATGTTTCTCCGCATAACCGATGGCTTGAAGCTTTGTAGGCGTGTCTCTTTGTAGAAGTAATTTCGGGGGTTCTTAGAAACCAAAACCGAAGTTGTTTTGCAATAACGCACATATCCACACTTTATACAGGTGCTGGTACCTGCTAGGGGCGTGCCTTTAGCGTCCACTTACACGTCCACCCTTCACTCATTGGCGGACTTCTTCGCCGCATGCCTGTCCTCACTCACGTC